ATTGAAGAGAAGTGTTCTTTCCCTCTCCATGCTTTAGGCTGTCATTGCGTTAGTTTTTCCAAGCTGACTCACTTTGATTTTTGAGTACATTTGTCTCCACCCTCCTATGCAATCAATCCCATTCTTTATTCCATCGTGGGATGCTGGCACCATGAGTAACGTTACATAACTGAGTTTTTGAAAAATACATATTTTCCAAGGCTTAGGCAACAAAGGCTCCTGTGATATATATTTTGGGGGTTGGCTCCTCTCCAACATTTTTTTAATGGTTACAATCTTAAGAAATGATTGGTGTTATTTTCCTTCCTTTCTGATGCAAAGCGTTTCTAGCAGCACAACATTTGAGTATCACCACCTTAAAAAAAATTCAACTTTCACGTACCATCTTGTGAAGTCAGGATAAGATTATGGGAGAAAAAGTATTAGAATCATGAATTAAAATTGCTTAGGGCTCAAGACAATAAGCAAAGCATTTGCAATAAAATTTAACTGGTGGTTTATATCTGCAACTATTCCTGTATGCCCCCCTGCATGCTGAACCATATTTTCTTCACTCCCTGTAAACACGGCTGAAATAGACAAGAACTGCTGAATGTTTATGAATAAGGTACAGCAATGCATATCTACCTCCACACTGTTTATGACAGTCCTGTAGAACCATGTTTCTTCCCTCTTAGGATATGAAGCAATAGACATCATGCTAGGAAATAGAATGTGGGCTCAAAGTTTCACTTTGGAAATGTTCAGGCATACCCTAAAGGTGACACAATATGCCTGCCCTGGCAGATGCTATAGGTGTGGGTACAGCCAATTAATCACCAAACAGCATTTAAAGATCTCTGGCAGAATACACTGAAAGTACATAAGAACCTGCTTATTTTATCAACCTTAAACAATGAACTCTGTTGTAGCCAACTCTAGACAGGGTGGGCAGGAGATAACAGTTTTGAGGTCATACCAGATTATGCACTGGAGGCTAATTTCCGTATCATGCAGACATTCAATCAAAAGAGATGGATCCTGATTTAATTCTGTTTGCTATCAATGGGGATGGGACACTGATCAGCACTAAACATTCAAAATAAAAATAATTTTTGGCAGAGGCCTTTCTTGACTATTATCAGTTCATAATGGGCTACACTGTATTTGCCAGATCTTTGGATTAAGTTGATTTATGTATTATTTTGGGTTTTTTTCCTTTTAGAAGTAAAGCAAGACAGCAGGCATTATGCTCTTATTATTATGGAATGGTTAATGTCAAATATGAACACTTTTCAGGTTTTCCCAGAAAAACAGAGGGCTGAAAATAATGAAATTTGATCAAAAGTATGTTTGAACACACACACACACACACACACACACACACACAGAGGGATGGAATAAAACTGAACACAACAAAACTGAACAAACACAGAACTGAAACTATGCACTGTGCAGAATTAGAAAACTAAAATGTCCAATATCACAAATGCTGAATTGCTATTTTTATAAGAAACTTTTATTTTGATTTCTGAACTGCTCCTGTCTCCAGAAAGGATTGCAGAGAAAACAGTGTAACAAAATTATAACAATGAAAAGAAGAATAAAAAAGAAGCCAACTCTCAATTAACCAATCTGAAATCAATGTAGGCTGAGCTTAAAGTTCAACTGTTTATGCTTCGTGTGACTAAGAAAATTGACTGTTTTAATGACTGGGACAAAAGTGCAAGATACAGCCTTTCAGAATCCCTTGACTGAAATGTCCTGGGGTCTGGCAGATTTCCCTCAAGGTTGCCTTGCAAACAACTATATCACAATGAACCCCAAGCCTGACCCACAAAGCCAGCCCAGCAAGACACCTCAGTAAATGATATTAAAAGCTGTTAAGAGATTGGAGAGACTCAACACATTTGTTTGTCTCTCTCCTAACAGAGATCATCTATCACAAGGACCATTGCTGTTTCAATGTCAAATGCCAGCTTACTGGAAATAAATGGGTCAAAACGTTTTGTCTAATAGCTTCTGAAGCTGACCTGCCATCACTACACTGCATACCTAAGTAGACAAAGTTGGTATAGATCTGTTCTACCCATCCACTCAGTTTCTGCACAGTATGTTAGCCCAATCATCATGAATGATAGATGTCTTCCTGCTGATCAACCTGGCATTTAGAGACATTGCTACTTAAGGAACAGATGCACATAATAAAAGCATTTTAGGTGTTATATTTGTATATTAAGACTAGAATGCAATGAGACTGCAGTAGATATGGTAAGTGTAGCTTTATATTCATGTCAAAAGGAGGAAGGGTTTTGTGGCAGTGACTATGAAATGTCAGAGGTCTATTAAGTTTAGACGTAACTATGCAAACTTCTAATGCGTACAAAGAAAGGGAAAAGTCAAATGACTTCTACAGGGGTCAGCAGACAATCTGGTGTCCTCCAGGTATTGTAGAGTACAATTTTTACAATTTCTTAATGACAGCCATGCTGGCTTGGGCTGCTGGGATCTCTGTAACACTCACACCCAGAAAAGGGAGAAAATCTGCGTGTGAAGCCACCAATCAGTATACGATTGAGGTGGCAGGCCAGTCTTTCAGTGAATGACCTTATACTTGAACGAGATCGATCTATCTATCTATCTATCTATCTATCTATCTATCTATCTATCTATCTATCTATCTAAA